AAAAAAACCTGATTGGCACATCTCTAGTAAACAACAATGGAGTGGTGTCAGATTTTAGCACATGAAGCATTTCTCTTTTGTCTTTGTTGAAAGACCTGAAGCCATTTCTCCTCCTATCACTACACTGTCACATTAGTTTTGATTGTATTTACCCAGGATTCCCTGCAATATAGTTGTTTTCCTGCTTTTGGAGAGGTCTCTGGTCCACTTGGCTTTCACACTGCATTCGATCCAGAGTTCACTTCAACTGAACCAAGACCTAGGTTTGTATGTGGACCAGAGTTCACTTTTTTGATACTCATCAGAGTCCAACTAAGCATTTTCAACTCCCCAAAGACACTGGACTTTGTAGACAGGTGAACTGGAGTTTTAATTCAAGCAGCTCAAACAGAGCTGGTGTGAATGCATCCTAAATTTTCAGTATGGTGACTTTATGGCAGCTGTGATATGATCTGTGTCAGCTGCAACTTTTTTATAGACACCCATTTTATGTCTAAGCTATTAAAAATAAAAATAAAGTTTTTTATATATCCTGTTTTGATTGAAAACCATTTATTTTGCAGATCAGAGGACAGATTTAATAATAGAGCTGGAAGTGTGCATGACAACACCAACTTTTGTTTATGGAGCAAAGTAGAGTGATACTCTCTAATTATGCAATTAATTGCCTTAACATTTTAAGCACATCTAAATCTTTAGAATTAATTAATTGTAATTAATACATCCCGCCCCAAGTCAAAAATTAATAATATTAAATGAAAAAGTCTTTGTTGGTATAACAGCATTGAAACCCTTCTTATAGGCTCCAACCAAATTTGTGAGGTTTCCATTTATCATTGAGCTGGTTGAGGTCAGGACTCTGTCATGATGGGTTTGAGACTCTTGACCCACATGCAGAAACACTCAGAGAATGGGTTTAGTCAAAAGGTTTATTTACAGCTCTGACAAAAGAAAAAAGATAGTTGGAGTTTATTCTTTCTTCGGTCCAGGATCCGGGAATTATTGTAGTGGCTGGAGAGCGAGTGGGGAGAGGCAAGCGGAGCCAGGTAGGCAAGGCAATTTCCAGGTTGTGGGCTGCTCAGGTGGTTCACAGGGCTGGAGGGCGGACAGGGTGGTCTAACTCACAAGACCGAGAGGAAACGGTGCAGCAGCGGCACGAGAGGATTCTTCCAAGACTCCGGTAACTCGAACGGTTCCGATGCAACAACCTAGAGAGGATCCACAAAAACAGATTAGACTATGAAGAAGCAACGTAGCAAAATCTCAAGCTGTTTAGCAACACTATGAGGGCTCTGTTTACCACTGCTGGCAAACACTCTGGCGAGGAGGAACTGGCCGCCTGCTGCTCATATACTCCTCACGGTGATGATCATTTCTTGCAGGTGTGTCAACCAAGACCTGTTGGTCCACCCTCTGGGAAAAAACAGCCACAAGGTGCCCTCTGGTGGATAGACCTGGAAAAACACTAACCCAGCCTGGTCCCCAACAGACTCTCTGGGTCATTCCAGGCCAGAACACTAATATTATTATTACTTCCAGTCACCAGAAACATGTTAGTAAAATTAGAGAAATACTTTAAATCTGCCAGAGGTATGAATGATGTCTGACTTTAACTGGAACTATTTAACGGTTTGCATGTCTACAAAATTACATCCAGATCAGGCCCGTCTTTCTCGGTGCTCAGCTCTTCTGTCCTTTTTACTTTTTTTGGATGTTCTGGTGTATTATGGGATCAAGTTAATTTAGATTCAGGTTAATGTTTTGTTCCATCAAGGATAAGAACGTTAAATTCCTCAGCTTTTCTCCCTGCGAATGACTATTTTGCAAACCATAAGAAATGTGTCCCTTGTGTTCATCATCCATTCAACCTGCTTTCTGTTGACGTCAATGAGAAGAACCGGCAGGAGCAAGCGCTCTAACCAGCATCTGGAGACGTCAGTCATGATTCATATCGTTGGAGAAACATTTATATCTACTTTGTTTCTGAATACCTGCTGATTTCTACTTGAAAAACGTGCTAATATGCTATTGAATGCTCTCTAAGTACGGCCACACTTGTCAAAGAGCAAAAATCCGAAAAAGAAAATCTAAACGGCTCGCATGACTATTAAATAACAAAGCATTTTGATTCCCTTGTTGACAGACTCCAGGAATTCATCTCTCAAGCACATCTTCTCAGAGAACAATATGTTTAAATATATTGTCTTGCTTAGGAATCCTTTTAAAAAGGCCTCCAACCAATTCCTCAACAGCGGTGTGTAGCAATGGCAACAAGTCAATATTTCGTGATTACAAAGAACTGATGTAGTTCCTGATGGGTGTTGGTTAAAGGTAGAAAGAAAAAGGATGACAAAAGAAAAAAAAGGTAAGTTAAAAAAGAGAAATGCTGCTAATCTGCAAAAATCTAGAAGTCAATAAATTATCAGCAATGTTTTATGGTGTTGCAAAACCAATTTCTGATGTGTTACCTTGGCCTGATGGGACCATCCATTTCTGAACTCTCCGCCTGCCTGTCAGACGGGAGCTTTACGTTGTAACCGGTCTTCTTTCACACCGTGTCATTTTACATGCTTTAATTAGCCATCTAGCACAACTCGTAAATTTGTACTGTAAAACACTTGGATGTGTGTTAAACACCAACATTCATCACTTTGTCATAACATTATGACAAATGACAGATTTGATAACTAACACTGCTCGTCTTGTTAGAATGCAGTTTTCATTGAAAAATGAGCATTTTAACCCTTTTCAGCTGCTTTTACCATCTTAATTTAGAATTTAATATGTTAGCATTTGTAACATAAGAATCGGTTTTCATGTGTATTCCAAATAGCAGGGTTGTCAAACTTTGTGCTTTAAATATTCTTTCAATTTAAGGTCAGAATGAGCAGATTTCTGTTTAAAATTTAAATAAAAGGCACTTTATGTCTAAAATTGCTTGCTTGTTAGGTAAAAACCTGCACCTTGTTCTGCACTTCACTTCTCACAGAGAACACATCAACTATTTAGAAACAGTCGATGTTTAAAATGTAAAATGTGGACTAAGTTTACATTTTAAACTTTTTGACCTAATTTTACCCAGTCATTAACGTTTGTCTGTAACAAACGCGATGCGTCAGCTTGATGAAGCTTACCAGAATTTGTGTGCGCTGCACAGCAGGACCACGACATCTTTGCCAGGAATAAAACGTCTTAAACATTCCTCTTGCTCTGATGCTGCTCAACATTTGGAAGCGTGGTCAACACGGACTGAATGCCTTTGCTCACTTCTTCTGTTGCTATTGACAAAAGCTACAACTTCAATTCCAAAGCTGCGCAGAAAGTCAATAGCAATCAATCAATGAGAATCTAGCAGATTTGCATAGGAAGGAAATAACCAGGCTACCTAAGCTTCTCAAAGGTTTGACCTCAAAAAGTAGAATACAGTCAATTAAGACTAAACTATGTGTACTACATAGTAGCAGCTGCCCAAACAATAAATACATATACAATACGTGTAAACAGCCAAAATCGTACACTACATACATAACCATTAAAAAAAACAAACAAAAAAAACAGAACAGGCACGCAGTTTTTTTTTTTATATATTTTGGATTTTTCAGTGAGGTTCTGTGAAATTATCCATCCGTCCCTGAGCTGTCAAAATACATTTGTTTTCAAAAAAGCATTTAAAAATAAGGTGTCTCTGTAAAACTGCACAGTTGTATTTAGGGCTATAGCAATACACTGATCTCACGATACAATACGATACATGATATTCTGCTCACGATATATATATCACGATATTCAGCAAGCAATACAGTTCAATACGTTTTTTTAGATTTTAGAGGGTTAGGGTGACATTGTGTGACTGTTCCATAGACTTGGATTGAAATAATTGAACTGAAAACTGATTAAAAGTACCAACTATACAATAACTGGCTCTGGTTGGACAGAGACTTAGAGTCTGCACCTGGACAAAATTAATCAAAGATGCGGTAACAAAATTAGTTTCCTTTAATTGAACCAGTGCAAACTGTAGCTTCCAAGCCTTGGTAAAGTAAATAAAGTGCAGCAAGTACCCTCAAAATTTCAACAGTGATCTGGGAGCTGAGTGGGGAGATTATCAGCCTCTGTAGACTCAATATGCAAATTATGTAGATAGTGGTCAGCTGAGAATAGTTGACAGGGTCGTAGATTGAGCTTGTCTATATTTATGTTTGCATTACATTTTACACAAAAAATATGTCCAGTATGGAGATTAAGAAGAAAAATATTGACATTTACATTTTGACCATATCACCCAGCCCTAAAACAGCAGAGTGACACTTGGTACACGATGGATGGAATAAGACTTAATGTATCGATACTCACAGATGAAAAATCTAAACTTTCTGAGGAAAAAAAAAAAAAAAATGTATTGACAAAGACCAGAACCATTCAGTTATTTTTGTAATAAAATAGTAATGTGCTTCATATGAAGGTTACACTGTTTAAGAAATAAAACTATTCAGATTAAGTACTCATAAAAACTATATATAATTTAAGTTGAAATCTGAATAGTTATCAACTTACGAATAAGGAGGCTTTTTTTCGGGGGGGGGGGTTTATTTGCTAGGCGAGTCAACATTTTGTCTCCCTGTAATTTCTGGAGACTGCAGATCTGCTTCAACAAAAGTTGGTAGAGAACCATGTGCAGAGGCTGTGGTCCTTAACGCGATTATCCTGGGTTCAATTCCCGGTTTTGAGTCATTTGCTACATGTCCTCCTCTCTCTCCACTCCATTTCCTGTCAATTCCCTGTTAAATAGAGGCAACTAGTGCAAAAAATCTATAAAAAGAAAAAAAAACTAACTTTCACAAACCTGAACATTTCAACTAAAACATGTGTAGCCTTACCCTTTCTTCTAAAGGACTGTTTTACTCTACAGAAAAACCTTTGGTCAGCATTTCTCCCTGTGCTGTTTACTCAGAAGCTAACAGACAGGCTAACGTTAGCTTGTTTCCTGTCTGTGTTGACATGTTATGGTAAATAATTCAGCTCACAGCGTGTTCTCTTTGCGGTTCAGAGAAAATTACAGAGTTGTCCTGCTACATGAAACAAGCACTTTGCTTTACATGTATACATGTGGATACATGTGAATAACGCTTCTCATTAGCTATAGCTAATGAGAAGCGTTATTCTGCTGTGTTCAGGTGACTCCCACTTGTCTGGTGAAGAGGAGCAGTTAAATAGTTCTAGTCACACAGAAAAGCAAACATCATAAGGCGTTATCGCTCATTTCTACTCTGTCACTGTGGCAGATATACTGTTAAAATACTAACAGACATCTCCTTAACATCTTAAGGAAATACAGTATCAGAGAGGGGAGAACAGGGGTGCGACCAAAATATGCCGTCGATACCTCTATCAGAAAATACAAGTCCTTACCTTAACTTTGTCCCACTATGACATTGTGACAGGTCAAATAGTTGAAACAGAAATGTTACTGTACTCTTCGTGGCCTTCCTGTTATCTGTTGAAAATTTTGCTCTCACAGATGGAATTCACCAAAGACAAGTCTGGACTTGAAAAATGTAGTTTTCTTTTAAGTAGCTTCTCACTGTGCCTCTGCGGCATCTCATTGATGCTCAAACAGTAAACTTTGAGTCTTTTCATAAACTGAAGATTATTTAAAGCATAGCCTGATAATGCCTGGGATGGTGCATTCACAGATCAGAAAAAGATATGATTTTTGATAAATCCATCACTTAATGACTCTAGGTTCTATTTTTTTTTTTTTTTTTTTTTTTTTTTTGCTTACACTTCTGATGTGTTATACCTGTGCAACATTTTGGTCAACTTTTGTTTTAAATACATGATAAAATTGAACTTTGGCTTGACTTGTGCAGAGCCCAACCCTCTGCAAAGCAGAAAGTCAATGTTGACTTGAAATCCAGAAAGACTAATTTTTTGTTTTTAAGAAGTTTAGTTAGAACAAGTTATGACAGTAGGCAAACACATACTGCCTCATTAAAAACGAAGGATGAATTCTATAATTTTAAATGCTCATTATTTTGTGAATTTTTCCTTCAAGTTTTTTCTAGGAGTTTGTCAGATTCACTGTCACTGTGAGTCTTTTTGTTTACAGCAGACCAATTATATATTTCTTTTGTTGTCTTTGAGGTTTCAAAGTCCTTTTCAGTATTGCTGCCTCAGTCACCCACTCACAGAGACTTGAACAGTGTCTGAATGCAGCTATTAAAGCTTTAATGGCTGAAAGGGTTTTCTGATGGATATTATCGTATTGAAATTATCATTTAATTAAATTATTGTTTTTACTATTTTTACTTACTGCTGACAGTGTCCTAAATTTCCATATATGTCAGCATGTTGAAAAAAAGTGAAAACATGAGAAAAAATGTATTTTGTGAAACATTAAGTTCTGTCACGTTGTTGGAATATGTGTCACTTTTGTGATAAAGACAGCAATTACAGTCTCAATCTAGCCTAGTAGGAACCAGCCACG